CGACTCCCGCCACGCGCCGAGTCTTCCCCGGGCTAAAGGATGAGCCAAGACGCCGAAAACACAGACAATTACAGCATTTGGGGTTGGTGTAAGCCCTGAGTTAATATCCCTGGGGAAGCGTACCAAGGACGACAAATGACCAGGTGTGGAGACACCAAAAACCTCTTTAATTCTGCCACCTTCTACTGTAATGCAACCACAGTGTGCCCGACAACAGCTTGCCCATATTTCACTTAAGGCTGACAGGTCCCTAGGAAGGCAGCACAAGCTATTATTACAAGCCATGTTTTAATGTACAGACATCTTCTGAAACTGCATTTCTCACCACCTCCCATGCAATGTCACATTCACCTGACCTCAGCAGCGTGCAGCCGTGTGCCGTTGTTTTACCATGACTCATTACACGGGGTGATTTTCTGAGAGCCCTGCACCGTGGTGTGACTTAATTATATGAGAACCTCAACAGGCCAGTTATAAARCCTCAGCTTCCCAGCTCCAGGGACTGCACAGCAATACTGGAAAAAGTTGCAGCACCCATGAGGAGGCAGGTAAGGCAGGTGGCTCCACCGTGTTGCTGCACAGGAGCACAAGTGACACCAAGGAGGTGGTAGCAAGGACACAACTGTGGTGCTGCCCTCCACACACCCTCCAGTACAGCTACCACTGCCTTTTCTGTTTCATCCCCAGCCATATTCCTCAGTAGAGCACAACTGCACGAGCCCTGCTTTCAGTTCCCCTCTTCCTCTCAGTCTTTCCCTTCTGCCTTCCTTTCCCCATCTCCCTTCCCTCAGCTTTTGCTTTTCCTCCAACAGAGTAAATCAAGAGCTACTCACCACTTCACTGCAACCACCTTCCCCTTGTTAGAGCAAGCAGCACCCAGTCATGGGCGCAGTCGGTATCACAAATAGACCATGAGCAAGACACCGAAATTACTTGAAATAGATGCTCCTAATTGGCCAACTTTTCTGCTCGGGTCTGTCTGCGGGTTCAGGATGACTGCCCAAATCAGAGCGCCTTCAGCTCACGTTTGCAGGACTATACTTAGAAAATCTAGAAACCACTTCAAAAAATGAAAATGCTATTTTTGCAACATTTGGATGCACTATAAATACTTCATATATTTGACATGTCTGACAAGCTTTTTTTCCCCCCCTCCCCTCAAAGTCCTTAAAGTATTCTTCTCTGCTGGAAGCAAACTTAGATAGTCCTTTAATAAACAATTGCCAGCTTTCAAATGGAGCATCATTGATAGGCACAGTGCAGAAGGCAACAAAAAGAGACTAGAAATAAGGGTATCATTCTTATTTTATTAAATATAGTCAAGGCTTCAACAGTCATGACACACAAAGGAGTAACGTTTTGTGACCTCTGAACACTCAGACTAAGTATAAATTGAAGAAAGGTTTCTGTAACATTTTGAGCACAAAAGGTACTAGTGGCATTACAATAATCTATTTTGTTCATTACAACAGTGTATTTTCCTCATTATAGTAGAAAATGAGGTTTCTGTTTAATAGAAAAACAGCAAATAAACAAAGCCTATGTATTTTTGTAATTGTGATAATATGCCAGGGCTCTTGACAGCTTCTGCATTTGAGGGCATCTCATTATTAACTTTTAACGAAACCACACACTATCTATTTGAAAAGCTAAATTACATTTTTTGATGAAYCAGCTGCTTTACTGAGCTCCTGTGGGATAATTCCTGGTATTGGACACTGAAAAAATAAATATCACCCTAAAGTTCAGAATATTTTCAGACAATACCATAAAAGGATATTCAAGCTATTCAATTACTAAGTTAAGAAGGGAAAGAAGACTGAGTATGAAGCCATAAACAAACATTCCATTTAAGTTAACTTTTGTCTGTTAGGTTCAGAATTTAGGTCTCAAGTTTTCTTACATTGGATCAAAACCAACTATAAGGCTGCCGTGTCCTGTGTGGGACTGACTCCTAAGCACATGTCCTCCCCTGCTTTTTGGGGGACCTTTATGCTGTCTCCACAAAATGGAAAATGCCTTCAAAGCAGTCCACTGAGTCCAGAAATTCAAATATTTTGTTCTTCTTGACTCCTTTCGCTGATAAAGAACAAAATGGTCCTGGTAGAAGTCAAGGCTTCTTTGGTGGAAATTAAGGTGCCAATTTGGGGAAATCAAGCAGTGATGAACAGAGGGGAAACAGCRCCCTTGTAATCCTTAGTTACAAGTTGTATTTTACTCTGCACCAGATAAGGTTCTTGGGCCACGAGGGAGAGAAGAAAAAGTGAGAAAAAATATTCTTCCCAGCTTAAATCACTATATGTGTCCTTTGCATGAATGGCTAGAGAACATTTGTTTCTGTGCAAAGAAGAAAAGAATTATCGTACAGRACATTTTGTTTAGGGTTCCCCAAGCAAATCATTAATTAGTAATTCAAAACACACGTACATATTTTATGTACATGTTTACTTTCACATCTATCTCGGAATCACTGAAATATTAGAGGTAATTTCTGAACTAATGTTCCAGCTGATGCCAGAACTGTTCCCCAATACTAAGGTATATCATAAATGTCTTGGACGTAAAACATCAAGACAAGAAAACATCAAGCCAGTGAAAACCACCTTATCTATATTTTGCACATGGGAGGGAGATCCTAAGAYGAGAGGTGGAAAGTTCTTTGCATGTCCAACACTCGTTCCTGACAGTTGTCTGCATGAAGCTTCAAAATCCCATGGAAAAGTACATCTATGTGTCAGGCTCAAACACATTCAGACACTTACAGAAACGTTTCACTTCCCAAGYGAAGATAGCATACAACAACATAGCACATAGATTTGGCTTTTACCATTGTAATAGCTAAGCTAATGCTCTAGAAATACAAYGAATCTCTGGAAATAAAAGGCTGATAGCTAGATCTTTGACGTATAATAGGCCACACAGACTAAGGGATTTAGAGAGGAAAGGCTACACAGTAAGTAGCAACCCATGGGGAATACACTGGAAAGCTGTCTGTTGCTTCAAGGATAGGGTTACTCATTCCAGGAAATCTGCACATGTCAGATAAGTTTCTACTAGACAGGTAGGATGTATTTTGCTTTTGTAAGTGTCCATTTGGTGGCTGTGTACTATCTTCACACTCAATTTTCTTCAGATTTCCTGTTGTTTCAAGTACATGGGAGACTGCTAGTGTAACCACAGTCAGGAAGCTTGGCTTTAAGCAGGGTCACCTGTTCAGTACAAGATTAGAAAGTGATGGATATTAAATCCACTATAGATCTGCAGTGGATTTTATATAAAAAAAAAATGTAGATCTGCACAAGGAGCTGCCCTGTGGCAGTTCTAGCTGGCACCTTCCTGGGGAAGAGTGTGTCAGCAGGGAAGGACCCTTCTTCCTCTCAGTCTTGGTTTCATTCTTTTTTTCCCCCCCATACGTTTAGTTTTATATAGTCCATGGTTACTCCTGTATCTGTAAAGCACACAAGCTTCTTTCACTTCTAAATTATAGACTATTCTTCACCTGAGCATTTCAAGATGCACTTGAGAACTCCACATCTTCTAATTACTCTGAAATTAACTCTTCTTCTCCAAGCTGAAGAATCTGAACTCTGTAGCTCCTCTTAATGTCCTCCGTCCCACTTCCAGTCTCATCTCCTTAACTGCATCTGTGCCAGTTCACACAAGCAATTCCCATATTTGCCATAGAATAKGGCACAGAGAACATGCCCTGAATAATTTCTCATGTCTATTGTGTGTCTGGAGATTATTTTCTGCAGACATTTTTTTCTAGGGCACTAAATAACTTGAAGCAAATCCCTAGTTTCACTATGAAGTCTTTAAAATGGCTAAGGCAGAAACCTCTTCTCCTTTTAGCTTAAAAACCAAGCATGAAAATGTGCCAGACAAACTGAAATGCCTCCTGCATCCAATATCAGACTTTCAGAACTTTTCAAGCACTGGCAGAAATGTGCTGGTACGTTTCAAAACAAAAGTTTCTCAGCGCACAGCCCCAATATCATTTAACGGGTTATAGGTATTTTTAACCCTAGCTATAATTAAGAACTGCCCCTGCCCATGTGCTCTGTTGCAAGCAGTGCCTCCCGTGCCCGGAGTTAAGGCCGGCACAGCACCCAGCACAGTGCCAGGAGCAAAGCCAACAGCCAAGCACTTCAGCCAGGAGCTTCCCTACCTTTTGGGCAGCACTTGCACTGCCTGTGCGCTGGCACAGATGCAGCAGCAGCCATGCAAGGGGAAGACCACAGCAGCAGCAGCGGGCGCGAAGGCTTCCTAACATTGCCACCTTGTGGGCCTGCGCCTCAGCTTCCCGCTGCTCCCGGCGCCGGACAAGGCCCCGGCTCCGCTGGGATACTCAGCAAAAAATCCACTGCAGGTGGGATGTCACCTAAGCTGTGACCACTGAGACCCCAAACAAGGACACAACCTCACAAATTCTGACATAAATTACTAACCACGTGTGGTAGCGTTTGCTGAGTTATGTCTTCCTCCGTTTAGCATCATGAGGGCAGTGCTAATAACGTACACGAGTGCTAACATCTAATGGAAGAACAAGTGAAAGCAAGAATATAATTTCTCAAAGTCTCTTAAAAGAAGACTAAAAGAAGATTCTAATTTCCTTCTCCCCCTTTTTCACAGAATTTCATAGAAATTTCACAGGATTCTGTGAAAAGAAAGGGAGAAGGAAATTAGATTCAATGTCTGTTCYGAGTTTTCTTTTCTAATTCCGTTTTGCCAGCATACCCCTCTTACTCCAGTCAACAAAACCAAAATACTTCCAAAAAGTCTGTGGCATCTAGTTTAGCTTTCATCATTTCCATTTCATGAATGAATAGCACTTAGTGACTTCAAAGCATTAATTAAACGGTCAGAGTTGTTTCAAAGGAACACCACTTGCTATTGACACCAAGACTATCTAGTTGTCTCCTTAAAGACCTTGTTACAAGTGTTACTTCCTCAGTCACAATCTCTGTAAAAAACATGTACAAATACACAAATGTACTTACTTTGAGCATCCAAACACTTTCCCGGGTTGCTGGTTTGAATTGTTCCTTGCAGCAATCTGGCACTGGAAAGAGAACATGAAAACGTTTAGTTCAACAAACGAACAAGGGCAAGGGAGGAGGAATAAATAAATAAATAAAWSCCACTGAATGGTCTTTGTTTGTATCGGTTGGGCACTGATGCAACAGCCACGTTCCAAAAATGGAACAAAAGCCGAAGCTCGTCTCGTTACAGTACCTTAATTCAGCTCCTCACACAATGCTCCAGTGTCGAGCACATCTGCACAACAATCAGATGTCCCTCTGATAGAGTAGTAAATCTATTAGGTCCCTTATGCAGGGCTACATTCAGACTTTATTCATAATTTCAGGGCACATTACTGYTTCTTCTTCTGGCCATGCTTCTTCYGAGCACAGGCCATCAGTTATGACCACTGCAACATGGAACTGAGGCCTTGCTGCACTTGCCTGAATGGCTTTTCAGAAGGAAAAAAAATCTGCCATTGAGAAACATGAACTGATGGCCAGGAAAAGCTCTATTTTTACTAATGTATCACTAAAAACATGGGAAAATCTTTTAAGTGATACTTACAGGAAGGTGACCACTTACAGCAACTGAATTTAAAGCTCATTCTTTGCTCTGTTGCTAGATGATATTTCTTAGAATTGCTATATTTGCCCTTGTATCCATGTACTCAAGTGCTAGGAGCTGACTATATGACAGAAACTAAAGTGGGAGCAAGCAAATATGGTTTTCAACTTGTGTCACCAGGGATTACATACTGACATGGCTAAGTTTCCTAACTTGCTTTCTTCCCAGTCAGCAAGAAATTTCATTCCTAGCAGGTAAATAATTGTTTACAGTCAGAGCAAGGCCTTGGTTGTTGCTTGCCTTGCACTCCTAGTCAGCTATTTGGGACAGTCCAGAGGGAGGGGAACTGCGAGGGAATCTCCATGAAACAGCCTGAAACAGCATCAAAACCAGGATGCTCCGACAAGCAAGGGCTCAGAGATGCAAAAAGTTCCAGCAGTGAATTTTGATTCAGCGTAAGCCCTACCTTTAGAAGAAGAAAATATAAAGCAAAGTCTCACTACAGCTCATTATCTCATCTGGGAAAGGTAAACAGCCCTTTAAGCACGGCTTGTCTAGAGRAGCTGGGTGAGTCATCCTGGCAGGTGACTTAGGAAGGCTGCTAGCACCCTGGAAGGCTGAAGCTACCTTAAAGCCAAACCAGAATTGCAATTAGCTATTAAATATCTTATTGTTTCTTTTCTTTTTTTTTTTTTTTGATCTCTCCAAGCCTCTTAAGCTCTGTTTTTCAGTATATTATTTCTTCTTTCCTCTTCATTTGTTTAACGTGGAARTAAATTCAGCACGGCTGACAAACCTCAGACATCCTGTTGGCAAAGGAACAGCAAATCCCTCGTGTGTGTTGGCTTTTACTCAAGCAGATCCCTGAACTTATGTTGGGATCTAACATTGCTACTCCAATAACCTATTTATCATCATAAAATGATGAGTAAGACAGGCAATCTCACATTAGAAGGGGGTGACCAGAACTTCTACCAGGCAACAGTAGTGGAGAGATATGGGGATTCCCTTAGAAAGGTGAAAAAACATTTGGCATTTCAGCTCTTCCAGCAATTTCCTCACTATACACTCTGTACAGGGTAATATTGAATTGAAAACAGAGGTAATGATCTTTTTCCCTCAGCTAAGGAGACTGCAATTTGAGAATGATTTGAGTAATATCACAGTATTTATTAATAAAGAGCACATTTTAAAAAAATCTTCACAGCAGAAGTTTCCAATGCTTGGAGACTCATGACCATTTACATGCAGAAGGAACCCAAGAGGTCCATCTCAGCACCAGCCCTGACTTTTGCCTGTACACGGGTATGGACCTGAGCTGTGAGGAGCAGCGTGACGGCCACAGCTGGAGGAGCTGATGAGCACAAGTGTGCTGCCCTGGAGAAGTCCTTCCAGGTGGCCACCAGCTTGGAAAGCCAAGCTGATACCTGGACCTGTCCTTCTGGCTTGAGGTGCAGGAGCAACATCCAGGCAGGGAGTGGTAGGAAATGCCAGTCATTAAGGTGGGGTTTAATTTAGGTGGACAAAGGAATGCAGCAGAAGGTCCTCATTAGAGGATGTGAGGCAGTTAACCACAGGAAGCCARGGCCCTGTTTGCAAGGGTGGAGGGATGAAAGCATGCAGTGAGAAGACACGGAGGAAAGGATGCCATGTGCTTCCACTGTGGGCCAGGCCACAGGCATCACGTCACTGATCTACAAAAACCCTACAAAATGAAACAGGTGAGCAAAGCATCTGGGTTCTACACAACTTAGGCCAGGAATTTGTTTTTTGTTCAGTGTTCCACAGTTAGGCAGAGCTTACAGCACACTGTCACGTGGCTGCAAGTTTCCCTGATGGGGGATCGAGCTGGAGACACAGATCACAACCAACGTTTAAGGGGCCCTTTTATGAACTAAGCTCTTTTAAACAGAATCAAGCAGTTCTCTTCAGCAGCAGACACCTATTCCCACCGCAAACTCATATTCCTGTGCTCAACTCACTCCCGTGATCACGCACAGTCACCCGGCTGCAGCAGCAGTAGGGAGGCTAAGCGCTTTTTGCGGAAGTCCAGGGGGGCTGCACCACCAGGAGGGGGCTTGGAGAGGCCCATCTTTAACCATATGTATATATAATCCTGCAGCCTTTGCTTACACACAGCAGCAACTAAGTTCTCRGCTGCAGCTGAGCTCCACAACTCGCTGAGGACACCAGCACACGCTGGCAGCCTTGAAGGGGTCCAGCAGCTCTTACTACTCCGAGTTTATCAGTCCTTGTGGATCACTAGTCTCCAGAGCTTATCAGTCCTTGGGAGACCTTCACATGCTGCCTCTTAGTGTGTGTTTTCCTCTCTTAGGCCTTGTTTTCTGGCAACTATTGCTACACATACAAACTTCGGTACCTATCAAATGCACACACACAAACTGACACAGGAGAGATTTCTGTGAAAATAACATTTTGTTCCATAGTTGTAACCAGAATAAAAACTGACTGAGGGGTAGAATAAATAAGTCAAACCAAGGAGGATAAGAAAATCAGGGCAAAAGCCAACAGCAATAAAAAAGAAAGACAATAAACCAAAAGCAATCTTCAAAAAACAAGGCACAAGGGCAGCACACTACCATAAAATCATACTGTAAGTGCAGCTGTTAGGATAAAGAGGCAACAAGGACACATTAGGACAGGATCAGAGTAAGGGGATTCAAWTCAAAGGCACTATATACTATTTACTGCATAAATTGACYATGGTTTTTACAAACTTTCTCTGATAGGGCTGATACTGTCCTTGCAGTCGCAGAGCCCTGTGCTCTGCTCCTGTGTCTCAGTGGCTGGATGYTTCCCTCCTTCCTATCCCCAAACACTGGGGATGTGATGCTGTACAACGCAGCTCCTAAAAGCARCTTGTAATGTAAGCTGATAGACACCTATTCAAATATCCTCAACAGTTACAGKGGGAAAAAATGTTTCAAAACCAGCTTATTTTTAGCAACTGAAAGAATTCAAGCAAACCAGCTGTGGCTGCTGTCCAGGCATTTAATGAGTGGAAAATAGCTTGACAAATTAGACAAACTCAGAGTCTAGGCCAGAAAACAACATATATTGCTATTTACATACCCTTGCCTGTTGAACAGATGAACTGAAAGATTAATTCTAAAGCTCCCAGTCTCAAAGGAAAGAAATGCTGGGGTTTGGGGTTTTTTTTGTTTGTTTGTTTTTCCAAATGACCTGTGTATGAATCCAAAAAACTTACGAGCTGGGCAGATATCTCAGCCTACTGGTAAGCAGCAGCCCGGGCCGAGGCTGTCTGAGCGCTCCTGCGTGCTCCTCTGCACTCGTTTGTGGTTTCCTGGCTGCCTGAGTCAGGACTGGACTGAGCTACTCCAATCCAGGCACAAAGCAAATAAACCCACTAACAGAGCTGAGCTTAGTGCCATCTTCAACACCCCCCCAAAAAAAACAAAGAACAAAAAACCAAACCCATGAAAAATGCCCCAGTCTGACTTGGAGCACTCCATGGGGAAGGCAGCAAGGAGCACAGGCAGCAGCGAGGAGCAGCCCRTTGGCACTCAGCAGCCCTCAGACCACGGTCGCCTCTGCCATTTCCAGCCCAGGGCTGCTCCARCACTGCTGCCTCCCCACCACTGCCCTCATTTCCAGACGTAGGTTGGCAAGAAAAACAAAAAAAGTCTGGAGGCTGCTACAAAACGCTGTTCCCTCCTTCTCACTCACAAAGCAGCCTGTCTTTTTTGCTCATTAAGTAAAGAAAACCCAAGCACGTTCTCCTTAGTGCCCAACAGCCTGCAGACCCTTTCCCAGGAAGATGTCTTCTGCTTTGCATTGTTCTCTCTTAGATCTTCTCATGGAGCAGAGCTTCTCATGAAGCTTCTTCATGAGCTTTTCTCAATTCTGCTGCCCTCTCCCCTTCCTCCTCAATATTTTATAAATGAGAGTTTCCAAGACACAAGTGCCTTTGAACACTGGGCTCAAAGCTACAGCCAACAGCACTGGTGACACCTGGGTCTTGGCAGCCCTGCTCCCACTGCCAGCGACCTTATCCGCCGTGCCAACTAGGACCTGGGTAAGGGTGTAACAGCGCTCAGGCCATCTGATTTTATCAGTTAGCATGGCAGATTTGGCAAACGTTTTTATTATTTTTTTATTGGCATGATAAATAATGCCAAAATGGTATATGAAGCAGAGGGTGGCGGACCTACTAGGAGAAACGGATGAGAATTTATCATTGCTTTTATTTAGCAGCAGGCTGCCACGCTATACTTAGCTCCATTTCAACCCAAAACATTTCCTCTTTGCTCCCTTCTGTGGGAGCAATCTTTCATCAATGATTTCAGAGGGGAAAAAAAAATCAATGGTTTTCTGTTTATTTATTTTTTATTAAGTGTCGGTTCAGTCATTGATGTCTGCATTTCAATGTCTATCACACTAATTAAAAATCCATCCTACTTGCATTGTCAGTGCCTACGCCCATTGACTTCT